GGAAGGTGAAGTGAGGCCGCCTTCGCCGGGGGAGGGGGGTGCATTGGTGCGGCCACACCTGGAGTCCTGGGTCCAGTGTTGGGTCCCGCACTACAGAAAGGGTGTGGGCAAAGTGGAGACAGTCCAGTGGCAGCGCTTGCCCCTGCCCCACTCTCTCCCTCCCTTCCTCCCTCCCTGTGGGGTCCTTGATCTGCCCCCCCCACACTCCTACCCTCCCCTTTCCACCACATCAGACTCATCAGCTGGAGGCAGCTCTCCAGGCTGCACTGCCTGCACATGTGCACTGGGCCATTTATCAACCAGATTATTGGCCTGATAGGGCCAATTTCTGACATAGTAAATTTTCTTTGTATCAGTGCCAATCTGGTATCAGACTGGTGTGTCGGTGCACCGCTACAATTCAGACCGCTTCAGACCACTTGAAATCCCCCTTTCCTGGCCACAGAGTGGTAAGGCATTGGACTGGCAGTGATCACTACATTTTTGGGGAACACTGTTGATCCATGGGTCATAATTACCTTATGAGAATTTAATCTAGACTATATTTTCTTATCTTCCTTATGAGATGCAGGACTCCCATCACAAGCTTTTTTAAAGTTATACTTTATCTTCTGTATTCCCTTAATTCACTAGGCCAGTTTCCCTGATATAAAGAAGGGAATTGGGTTAGTTTGACAATGCCACTTTTTATCTTGTAAGTGATTGTAAACTGATTGTTTAATAACTTGTTTAATAGTTTTTCCAGGGATTTAGCATTTCATCCACTCAGGCCCAATATGGAGATTAATCAGTCCTTATATCATCTCTGAAAGATATATTAGTATAATTAGCCGCATCTTACAGATCAGAAAACTGAGACGGGAAGGTAATCATAGGAAAGGCCATAGACATGCAATAGAACTAATCTTTTCCTGCAGCATTGTGCCCCAAAAATATAAGGGTTTTGTCTATAGATTTCATAGACATTAAGGCTGGAAGGGACCTCAAAGATCATCCAAGTCCAGCTTTTTTAAAGTCCAGCTATATGACATCAATCTCTTCTCCCTTGTCCCGATGATATGTCACCTGGTCATAGAAGGAGATGAGATTGGTCAGGCAAGACCTACCCATGCTGACTATCCCTCAGGATGTTGCCTTCAGCCATCTTATCCAGAAGGGTCTCCTTGATAATTTTCTCCAGAATCTTACCAGGGATTGAGGTCAAGCTGATTAGCCTGTAATTCCCGGGATCAACTTTCTGCCCTTTCTTGAAGATGGGTACCACATTGGCCTTCTTCCAGTCTTCAGGTACTTCACCTGAGCACCACGAATCTTCGAATATTTTTGCCAATGGTTGGGCTATGACATCTGCCAACTCCTTGAGTACTCTAGGGTGTAATCTGTCAGGACCAGCTGACATGTAGGTGTCCAGCCTCTCTAGGGGATCCTTTACTAGATCAACATCAATGCTGGGTATAAATACGCCCTCACCCTGGCTGTCCCGCGTCTTGCTAGGCAGGGCCGTCCCGCTGGACTGATGAAAGACCGACACAAAGTACCCATTGAGCAGACTGGCCTTTTCCTGAGTGTCAGTTATCAGCTGTTCCATTTGGTTCAGTAGGGGTCCAATGTTACCCTTGCTTCTTTTCCGACTCCCTACATATCTGGAAAAGGACTTTGTTATCCTTGATATGTATATCCAGATGAAACTCGGTTGCAGCCTTGGCTTTCCTGATCCGCTCCCTGCAGGTACAGACTAGTGCTGAGTACTCCTCCTTGGTGGTACTTCCATCCTTTATAAGTCTCTCTTTTGAGGCATAGGAGGTCCTCAAGTTCCCTGCTGGTTGGGCCAAGGGGGTTGCTGTGCCCTTTTGCTACCCTTCCTCCAACATGGGATGGCCATCCCTTGTGCTATCAGGATCGCTCCCTTGAGGAGCAACCACTCTTGGACTTCTCTGCCAGTTGAGTCGTGGTCCCTTAGGGCCTCGACAGTGAGCCTCCTGAGCTTGTCAAAGTCAGTTTTCCTGAAGTCAAGGACTTCTGTATTGCTGACTGACTTGCCAGCTTTGCGATGGGTAGTAACGGTGATCAGCTTGTGGTCACTGTCACCCAGCTTTCCATCGATTCTTAGGTTACTGACTAGATCATCCCCTCTGGCCAATACTAGGTACAGCAACGCTTTACCTCTCGTTGGCACGTAGATTTCTTGGGTCAGGTAGAGCTCATCCACGCACTTAAGGAAGCTTTGCGACCGATTGGATTTGCCCGAGCGCTCTTCCCATGAAATGTTTGGGTAGTTAAGGTCTCCCATGACAACCATGTACCGAGAGTGTGTCGCCTCAGCCAGTTCCCTGGCGAATTCTTGGTCCAGCTCTTGTTTCTGGTTAGGAGGTCTGTAGTAGACTCCTACCATGATGTCCCCTGAGCCACGTTCCCCACGTATTTTAACCCAGAGAGACTCCAGTTGCCCTTCCTGGGTGCCAATGTCAATTTGCAGGGATGTGTAGTTGTCCTTGACATGGAGAGCTACACTCCCACCCCTTCTATCTACACAATCACGCCTGTACAGGGTATAGCCATCTATACCTGTGGCCCAATCATAGGTGGAGTCCCACCAGGTCTGTTATCCCTATGATGCCGTAGTCATTCTTGTTTAGCAGGAGGACCAGTTCCTTCTGTTTACTCCTCAAGCTCCTGGCATTGGTATACAGGCAGGCCAGTGTCCCCTTGAGGGCCCTTGAATGTTTCTTACTGTTTTTTATAGAGTTTTAGCAGTAGCTTTTTTCCTAATGCCTGTAGGTATTGAGTAAATCCGAGTACTTAAAATAAAGATGAGTAAATCTAGAATAATACAGTAGGGTTTGCGTTAGTCAGTAATGTGTGTACTCGGCCAACTTCCTTTAGCACCAAAATGTTCAGTACTTGTGTTATGCAGATAGAACAGGGGTCGTTAATGTTTTTGGGGTGAATGCCAAAACCAGCTACAACCTCAACTAGTAAGTGTTGGCATGCCAGGGGCAGATAGCAGGGGAACTGCAAAGGGCCTGGTCCTTATTGTGGCGGAGCAGCTGCAGCCCTTTCCACAAGGCATGTGCGTCAAGCAAAATGCTTTTGCATACCACACTGGTACGCATGCCAGGCGTTGCCTACCCCTGAGCTAAATTCTCTGGCATTTGACTTTTTGACCAGTAATATTGCTGCAATCTCCTGCTTAAAAATTAACATGGACCAGTCTTTCATAGCTTGCTTGCGTTATTATTGAGGAACTCAAAGTACTTTAGAGAAAGAAGAGTTAGCTCTGTTTTCTGGTGGGAACACTACCACAGAAGGCAGCTTGCCTAAAACCCATCTAAAACCTCTTGAACTAAACCTCCAAGCCTCCCCTCTTGCCTTACTCTCATGCATTTGACTCTACTCCCTCATTTCTAAGAAAATGTTTCTTGTATGGCAGCTTCTGCACAAACGTCAGAACCAGCTGTGACTTTAAGGTGAGGGAGGTAGCTGATAAAGCATGATTGTTTTGTTTGGTCTCTGCATTTATGAAAATCTGATGTTTTCCGGTGTCTAAAAAGTATCTGTGTGGATCAATCAGGACTGAAAATGTCTAATATGTAGACACAGCTATCAACACATGAGACTAAGTTTTTAAAGACAACTTGCGATATTTTAACCAATAGGATTTTAGTAAACTATTTAAATAACGGGCATATTTCTAAGCTAATATTAAACAGTCTTCTGCTCATAGGAATGTATAGGTCACCAACAAATGAGTTTAATATCTGTTTAAATAGTCACATCACATATCAATCTAGAATTTGTGCTGACTTTATTAAGTGAAAATTTAAATGTCTTCCTAGGAAGAGGTGGACCCATCACTTCAAGCACTTGAATCCCGCCAAGAAGAGATATTAAAACGCTTATATGAACTTAAAAGTGCTGTTGATGGGCTCTCAAAGATGATACAAACACCAGATGCTGACTTTGATGTAACAAATATTATCCAAGCTGATGAATATTCTCCTTTGACAGCAAATGCAGCAGATCTGGATTCAATGCTTGGGAAGGTAAGTACCATCTCCTATTATCAACAAATTTACCGTATCAATTAATCAGTTACCTTTAATGCAATGTCTGAGAAGTCGTTATATTTGCTTTGCATCCAGATTTGGAAAGGGTTGGGATAGAAGCTGCAGACTGAGTAAAATTTGGGATACTCAAAACTTAAATGAACAGAACTCTTTGCGTGCTTCAAAATAAAATGTTAATTTTGGGTTGTTTATGACCTCTGGATCACAATTCCAAAACAAACTGGATACTGGAACTTATGAACATGAGTCTAAATCTCATTTCTACTGAAGTTTACGTGTTCAAATGGGACCAGGGTTTAATTCATTAGCACTTTGGCCACGTCCAGACAAGTGCGGACATATGGTATGTGGCACTGCAGACCCGTCTGCGGTGCCACACAGCACATGCAGGTGGGAGGGCCCCAGCGCACAGCAGTGAAACTGGGAGCGCCATCAGCAAAGCTAGAAGTGTCTCCACGCTGCTGCCATGTATCCCCTGAGGCCTTCCCAAGTACCCCCGGGTTGACAACCGCTGGCTTAGAATGTATGAATTTGGGCAAGTGGATTCTTGTTGCACACCAAAAACAAGCGTCTTGGCAGTGCTAAATTAACATTTGTTAATATTTTACTTTTGCTGCAGGGTTATGGTGCTCTGAAAGATATTGTGATCAATGCAAACCCTTCTCTACCTCCATTGTCACTACTAGTACTGCACAGCTTGCTGTGTGAACACTATAAAATATTGTCAGCTGTTCATACACATTCATCGGTAAAGTCAGTACCAGAAAACCTTTTGAAATGCTTTGGTGAGCAGACTAAAAAACAGTCGCGTCATGAATACCAGTTTGGATTTACTCTCATTTGGAAGGATGGTAAGAAGGCATCTAACCTATCTATTACTTATGACCCTCGTTTGTTGCCCTAGAGCAGTGTTTATCAACCAGGGTAATTCATTTTTAAAATGGGATGCTGCTCATTCAAAAAAGTTATGGAGGGATTCTTTGAGTCTGATTTGAAATCTCTGGGTTTATGTTGTGAATCCATATGTAGCTGTTTGCACTCTTAAATATTGCATGGTACCCTTAAAAGGATCTTGCATCACCCTGGTTGAGAATGGCTGCCCTATAGGAAACAGGAAGTTTCCATGTGCATGATTTTTTAACCACGTAATATATAGAAAACAAGTGGGCAAGGATGCACACACAAAATAAAGACAGCATAGACCTGATTTCAGTGCAACAACTTCAGCAGTAGAAAATGCTGCTAGGCTCACCTCAAGAACTGAACTATCTTTGTTACTTATCTTTTCCTATTAAGAACTAGTTTGTGGTGTTCACTTTTTTTCTTTTTGTTTTCATTTCAGTTCCAAAACCCCAAATGAAGTTTAGTATTCAAACCATGTGTCCTATAGAAGGAGAAGGGAACATTGCTAGATTTCTGTTCTCCTTATTTGGCCAGAAATACAATGCAGTCACTTCAACTCTAATAGACAGCTGGGTGGATACAGCCATCTTCCAGCTGAAAGAAGGAAGCAGTAAAGAAAAAGCAGCAGTCTTGCGCTCCATGAATGCCAGCCTTGGTAAAACACCCTGGCTGGTGGGAAGTGAACTCACTGTAGCAGATATTGTGGCATGGTGTGCACTTCAGCAGACGGGTAGCTCCAATGCTGTTCCAGTTAATGTGCATAAGTGGATGAAATCATGTGAGAATCTGGCACCTTTTAACTCTGTTCTTAGACTATTGAAGTAACTGTACATTCTTCATAGGAGGGAAGTGTAATTTTAATTTTATTCCACTTCATGCCTGCTGGGATGGTCTTCCTTGAAATGTACTTGATAAATAAACAGTGGACTGAATTTTCTCATTATTACTTGTAAAGTCTAATATCAATAAAGTCCTCAGAGTTGCTGTTTGAGTGTCACATTCCTTGTGTGGGGGTTTTAAAATGTTCCAAAAATAGTTTGTTCTACTATAATAAATAATCTGCTATTAACACTAGGCTAGTATTTTTATTTTAAACTCCCTTTAATTAACAGAAAGACAAACATGATCCTTTTAAAAAATGTATTTTAAATAAGCTGAGGGCAATTCCAGATAAAAGACAAAGCAAGTTGTGATGCAATGGTTAGCCATTGTCTGAAAGATCAGGCAGGACACCTTACATTTAAGTATTTTATATAAAAACATATTTAGTGTCAAAACACTAGCATCTCAGTATATACATAGTTTGACTTCCAATTTTACTTAAACTGGAGAACCAAGCTCTTTGTACTCTGCTCTCTGCTCTCTTTCTTTTAAAAGCCATTTTATTTTCTCCTTAAGCTTCTCAATTTCTTCTTCTTTCTGTTTTACCTTCTGCTTCAGAATGCAGATTACCTGAAAGAGAGAGAGTTATTTTACTTAACATTTACGTAGAAACAGGCTCTCACTTATCATATTCTTTTGCTGGGGGAGTTTAGTCATATTTTTTTAAGGGAATGGGAAGAGGAAAATGAAATTGTCTAAAGAACTAAAGATAAGAGTATAACTTGAACTGGTAGATGTAACAGTAGTTAACATTTGAAATAATTGGAAGATAATTTTTTTCCCCTTTTTGTACAGTAACAGAGAGTTTACCTTTTTAAAGAAAAAGGTCTGAAGTGTTGTAGGGTTACTGGCTAGAGCAGGGGTGGGCAAAATAATGGCCTGTGAACCAGATCTGGCCCACCAGGCTGTTCTATCCAGCCCACAGAGCCCCTAAACTATTTACAAAATGAATGAGGTAACAGCAGCCAGGGACAGTAGAACTCAGGGGGAAGCCATAGCTGGCTTTTGGCCTGGGACTGCGGGGCTCTTTGTGGCTGTGCTGGCATGAGAAATTTAGGGGGGG